TACCCAAAAAATAAGCCTGGGAGTGGGTGTGGCCAGCACAGGTGATGAGCGTAAGGGGGTCAACGGTGTCTGGCAGCAGCCGCAGCCCACGCAGCACAGGTAAGTCCAAGCATGGAGGCAGAGGCAGGGGGAGGGAGGCGATCTAGATGCGCTGTGCGGCTGTCTGGCTTGCAGGAGCCTCGTGCAGCACCGGCAGCAGGCAGAGGCATGGGAAGGGAGGCAAGTGATCCTGATGCGCCACCCACTCCGACCCACCGTCTCTCGGCTGCATTTGGGTAATCACCCTGATACCATGTTTCCCTCCAAATAAGCCCTAATGCATCTTTTGGTGCCAAAAAAAAAAGACCGGGTCTTATTTTTGGGGAAATACAGTAATTCTAGGGTGAACAGAAATTTGACACTGTTGACATTGTTAACCAAGGAATTTTCTCACTGGTCCTCATGAAAATTCTGCATTTTAAAGCAGATAACAACTAATGAGACTATAATAAAGCTAACCAGATAGGCATTCTTTAAAAATATAGGGAATTTGCTTGAAATATACACAAGAGACAAATTAAAGCAAAATTACAATATTTATTTTGTACATTTACCATTTTAAACATGAAGCCACTCTACTGGGTATTAGAAGATCCTACTCCTTTTTTAATATATCATTGATAGTTCATCTCATGCAAACTATCACCACATTGATAGTTCATCGCATGGAAAATAAGACTCATTTCTTAAAGGGGATTAACATTTGATTTTAACTAGAACAGAAAAAATATTTTCATATTCACACTCCTCTGGCAATTAATTTTTCAATCTGCTGATTTAAAAGTACAATTTTAGTGTTGTTGCATTTGTTTGGCTGCAGTAGTAAAATTGTCCCAAAGATGCTTTTTCATGAGGCAACTGGATTTTCTTGTTTTTCTTTGAAGATGTTTTGCTTCGCATCCAAGTTGCCTCATGAAAAAGCATCTTTGGGACAACTATGACGTGGATGACTGAGAATCTCCATAGACATTCGGTGGTAAAATTGTATTATATTTCCAATACTGTATTGAAGAAGTACTATTTCCCCACTTCAGCATTCTATCCAAATCTGCAGACTTCATCTTTTAGAATTTGACAGCCAGCATGGCTATTTGCTGAGAATGTTGGGAGTTGAAGTTCATATAGCTGGTGTGTACCCAAACTTGAAAAAGCTAAAAAATTGAAAATATTAATCTATAACTTTACTATGCTTAAATATATACTTATAGGCTTGCTTTGCAGCAAAAGGAAACTTAAACTCAGCCACACTAGCAAGACCAAGATTCATTCCTAACAATGGAACAATACTACCAGAAAAAAACTGATAATTTAAAGCCACAAGCCACAGCATAAAGATTTTCTCCAGAAATGTACAAACAGGAGTGGCCTTTGATGTCCACAGTACTGGTGTAGTTCAATGGCTAGAACCAATCAATGACAAAACACTAGAATACTGAAATAGTTACAATTTCTGGATGTTTCTGAAGGGCAGCATCACAATGAAGTTTACTGCAACAGTTTGAAATGTGACCATGCCATCAATCACATGCATAGGATTATGAAAGAAAGGCTACAACAAGGAAAACATTCTAAGCTGCAAAAATGCTTTCAATAGAATAGAATAGAATAGAATAGAATAGAATAGAATAGAATAGAATAGAATAGGAATGAGTTGGAAGGGACCTTGGAGGTCTTCTAGTCCAGGGCTTTTCAACCTTTTCACTGATTATACCACTTTTAGGATATGGCAATATTCGAGTACCACCTAACAAGGTGTCAAAAACTTGATGACAAAAAAAAAACCTGTTCAAAGTTGCAATTGCACTGAAATGACTTATGACCATTTTTCACACTTATGACCATTGCAGCATGCCCAGGGTCATGTGATTTATATTTGGATGCTTAGCAACTGATTCATATTTATGATGGTCACAATGACCCAGGGTCATGTGATCCCCTTTTGCAACCTTTTGACAAGCAAAGTCAATGGCCGGGCTGCTGGTAGCCAAGTGCTAAGGCGGGACTTCCCTCCCTCCCTCCCTCCTTCCTTCCCTGCCTCCCTCTTTCTCATGCCCACCTCCTTCTGAAGGAAGAATTTGAAACAACCCCCCCCATATTTTCTCTCTTCCATATATTCATCAAATAAGGAAAATCCTCCAGAGGCAGAAAATACAAACTGCTGAGTGAATTAGTTTAAAAAGGCACATTCTCTTTTAAGAATTAGCTACTGGCTAGAAAGGAAAGTTAAGGAGTGCAGCCGGCACTTAAGGAAGCCGGCTAAGGCAGCCTCCCCAAATGGCTCCATTCATAAGTAAAGGAATGCTACAGGCAAAATCCATTCAGGAGAAAAATACTTCAAAATCCCTTGCAGCAAAACTTACAGCTAACAATAGCAGAGCAATAGAAGCTAACAGGAGACATCAGCCATCAGCCAAATAGAAATTGCCAAGCACTCCTTAAGAACACAAAGCCCACATTGCACAAATCCCAGAACTTCAAAGTCACAAAAGCACATCAGAATCCTTCCACTCTCCATCTCCTTCCGTGCCTCACCTCCAGCCACTGCTGCCTTTTTTCATTCCTCTTGGAGGGCGACTCCTTCCCCACTACATTTCTTGCCCATTTGTTGCTGCCAGCACAGGTGGCTACCACAGCAGTTGTAGATCATCTCATGGCTGGCCTGCTTGATCTCCTCTCCCCCCACCCTCCTGCTCCTCGGTGCAGCTAGAGCTGACTCCACCTCCACCCAAGGCTGCTGCTTCCCCCCCCCCAAACTGCCTCCTTTTATAGCCTCTCCTGTCTCCGCCCCTTCCTCCTCCTTTCTCATGAGGGAGGGTGAGCCAGAAGTGAGCCTGGGGCCTTTGCCTTCCCCCAGCCACTCTGCAGCTCCAGAGGACTCTCTCACAGTAAGTCCTTGCCTGCTCTGGCTCTTTCCCTCCCCCACTACACTTGGCTAGGCAGGGCTGTGTACCACCTGCCACTCATTAATGTACCACAAGTGGTACGCGTACTACCGGTTGAAAAGCCCTGCTCTAGTCCAGCCCCCTGCTCAGGCAGGAAATCTTATACCATTTCAGACAAATGGTTATCCAATCTCTTCTTAAAAACTTCCAGTGTTGTAGCACTCACAACTTCTGGAAGCAGGCTCTTCCACTAGTTATTCTAACGGTCAGGAAATTTCTTCTCAGAAATAGGTTGTTTCTCTCTTTGATTAGTTTCCATCTATTGCTTCTTGTCCTGCCCTTTGGTGCTTTGGAGACTAGCTTGACTCCCTCTTCTTTGTGGAAATCCCCAAGATATTGGAACACTGCTATCCTGTCACCCCTCATCCTTCTCTTCATTAAACTAGACATATCCAATTCCAGCAACCGTTCTGGAACCCTCATCATCTTTGTTGCTGTTCTCTGCACTTGAGTCTCAACATCTTTTTTACATCGTGGTGACCAAAACTGAATGCAGTATTCCAAGTGTGGCCTTACCAAGGCATTATAAAGTGGTATTAACACTTCATGTGATCTTGATTCTATCCCTGTTAATGCAGCCTAGCACTGTGTTGGCTTTTTTGGCAGCTGCAGCACACTGTGGCTCATATTTAAATGATTTTCCACTAGGACTCCGAGGTCCCTCTCACAGTTACTACTATTGAGTGAGACAACACCTATACTATACCTGTGCATTTGGCTTTTCTTGCCTATGTAGAACTTTACTTTTTTCACCACTGAATTTCATTTTGTTAAATAGCACCCAATGTTCAAGTCTGTCAAGATCCTTCTGTATCTTAAGCCTATCTTCTGGAGTATTGGCTATTCCTACCAGCTTGGTGTCGTCTGAAATTTGATGAGTTCCCCATCTATCTCCTCATCCAAATCTTTGATGAAGAAGTTGAAGAATACTGGGCCTCAAAGAATACAATAAGATTTGTCTGGCATGATCTGTTTTTGACAAACCAATGTTGGCTTTTGGTAATGACTTTGTTTGCCTCTAGGTGTTCGCTGATTTGTTGCTTATCTTTTCCAGAATCTTCCCAGGTATTGAAGTGAGGCTGATAGGTCTGTAGTTTCCTAGATCCACTTTTTTTCCTTTTTTGAAGATGAGAACTACATCAGCTCTTTTTCAGTCCTCTGGTAGTTCCCTGGTGCTCCAGGATCTTTGAAAGATATAGTTCAGTGGTTCTGAGATCACATCTGCCGGTTCCTTCAGAACCTTGGAGTGTAATCCATCTGGTCCTGGTGATTTGACCTCATCTAGGGTTTCTTGGTTATGTCTCATACGTGGAGGTCCATTGATCCAGAAGCAGTATTAAACTCAAGCCTTAAAAAATGCAATGCATCTAACAGAGGCTAAAATCTAATCCCAAACATGTTTCCAATTACATCTTGCCTAAATTTCAGTGTGCTGTTTTTTTATCCACTGCTAGACCTGCCATTGAACAATCAGTGGGCAGATCTAGCACCGGATTAAAAAAAAAAAAAAAAAAAAGCACAGGTTTCAGAACTTTGATTCCCTGTCTAGTAGCTTAATCGGTAAGCAGAAAAATGAAAAAAGCTTCTTGAACAAAGGCCAGAGGTTTGGGTTTAAGCCAGTGTTTTTCAAATTTAACAACTTTAAAACACGTGGACTTCAACTCCCAGAATTCCTCAGCTGATACTGGCTTAAGTAACAAAGCCGCCTAGTTGCTAATGTGAATAAGCCACTACGCAACATCACTCAGTATACATGTGTGTCTTTTTGTATATATTACACAGGGCTTTTTTTTTTTTTTTTTTGTCATAGAATGCCCAGAACGGAGTTCTGGCACCTTTTTTTGGATGGAACCTTGTAGGGTAGGCAAGGCGGGTTATATGACATGTGTGAGTTCCGGCACCTTTTTTTTTTTTTTAACAAAAAAAAAAGCACTGATATTACATATCTTTTTTTTATTGCAATCCAACGCCATCACGTCCCCTGCACTAGGGTGGAAAAAGCTGCTTTACTATCAACCAAGTTTTTCAATCAAAAGCGGGTAACTTTTTAGCAAAATAAAACCCCGAAAGGGGGGAAAAAGGAGGGAAGAGTTCTGGTCTGACGCGGCAGGCATCCCGGCGGCGCCAAGCGCACGCCCCTTTCCTCCAAGCGAAGTCCCGTGGGCGCTTCCGCCGCGAAAACCGGCGCCGAGCCCGGCAGGTGGAGCGCCAGCGAAGCTCCGGCACTCCGCTCCAGCCACGGAGCCCTTCTTGCTCTCAAGGAAACCTCGGCAGCGGGAGGAGGGTCACGGCTCCGCCCGTAGCCAATCCGCGCCCGCGCTGCCAGTTAACCGAGGAGAATGGGCTGTAGTTTCGTGGAGTAGCAAAAGCTGCAAACAGTGTGGACCGCTCTCGGGGTGCAAGGATACAAGGCGCGTCCGGCCCATGCCTCCGCCAAAGGCGCCAGAAACAGAAGGCCGGGCCGGCAGCGAAGTTTCCTAACTCGCCTCTCCATCCCTGGCCGGCGTCTGTCTTCCGCGCAAGGCGAGCCCCCTGGACTTTCTCGGGCGGCAGGAACACGCTCCGACTATTGTTTGCGGGTCCTCTCCCCGCTTCCTCCGCCCGTCCCCCCCCCGCCCGCCCGCCCAATATGGCAAAGGTTCAGGTGAACAACGTCGTGGTGCTGGATAACCCCTCGCCTTTCTACAACCCCTTCCAGTTCGAAATCACCTTCGAGTGCATAGAGGACCTCTCCGAAGGTGAGTCCCGCAGAGCCTTCTTTCGCCTTCTCCCCGGCCGCCGCTAGCCTTTTCGGGCTTCCAGGCTTAAACTTTGCAAAGGCCTCGGCGGCGAGAGCGTCTCTCTCTCTCTCTCTGCCGGGGCTTCGCCGGGCGGGCGGGCTGCCTGGAGGAGGCGAGCCGGCAGCGCTGGGCTTCCCCCGTCGCGCGGCTTGGGGCGAGGCGCGAGCGCCGGCGAAAAGGGGAAGCCTCAAGTTGCTGGGAAGTTGCTCGGGCGCTGGGAGCAGCCATGTTGCCGCCGTCGTGGTGAGCAACTCGTCGGGCGCATACGCAAGAGGAGGGCTTAAGCGAGCTCCGCTCGCATGCTCGGAGCTGGACGCCGAGCCGGGAAAGGGCAAGGCAGGGCACGGCTCTGCCAGCAGTGGCCTAGCTTTAGGTGGCCTTGGATGCCCCTTAGCAGTCTGGAGCACGGTTTGCTTTTCTCGAGGGACTCGCAATTGCAAAGCGTGCAAGTACTTGTAGAAATAACCGTGGCGCTACTTTGCTTCCGTAACGCGTCTCGTTTGGACGAGCGCTTGGTTATTGGACCTTGCAGGTCGAGAGTAGTGAGCAATTCCAGTTTTCGCTCCCCTATTGAGCGAAACGAAATTACCGAGCGCCCTGTCAACTCAAGCTTTACAAACTGGGACTTAATAGGTGGGCAAAGAGCCCGTTGTCTTCTCTCATCCCCAGTGGGCAGAGGAGTTGGCGTTGGAGAAGGGTGCGGTAATTTGAAATTGAAAATGAAACTTCAATTAGCCACCCCATCCAATTATTTTCAGTAAGTGCCACTGATTTCAGCATTTGGTGGTTCGGGGCTTGATTTGATTAAAGCTAGGTTAGATTACGGTTTCTTATTTTTGTTTTCAAGTTTAAGAGTTCAAAGAGATGGCAGTTTGGAAGGGGTTTTGTTACTGTTGCGGGTGAGGTTTGTTTTTAAATAAAACCAACATTTTGAATGTTTTATTTAAAAGTATTTTTCTCTAATGTAGATTTGGAATGGAAAATCATTTATGTGGGCTCAGCAGAAAGTGAGGAATACGATCAAGTTTTAGATTCAGTTTTAGTAGGCCCAGTTCCTGCAGGAAGACACATGTTTGTATTTCAGGTAAGCACAATAATTGCTCCTCTAAATTGTTTTGGAGGTAAATAGGAGGCAGGAATATTGCTTAACGTCACTGAGTTAACACGTATATCAGGATAAAAGTATAATAATAATAGAAATAATAACTTTTTCATGACCAAATGTCACCAATTCATTGGTTAAATGTAACTGAAATTCTGAGTTGTCATTTATTGAAAGCAGTATCCAGACTTAAAGAGTTTAAGCTAAGGCTAGATAACCATCTTTACCTGATGTCTAATTTAAAACAATAAGCAATCCAGAGCAGAAATAATTGCTAAGGAAGAGAAGAGTCCATAAGTGGAGTAGGATGGATGTTTTTATAAATCACACTTAAAGAACAAATTCAAACCTGATATTTGGATGCAGTGGCCTAATCTGTACTGAGGCTTAATAATATCAAATTACTTGAAGTAACATTCTCAATTACGTTCAAACCTAGAGGAAAGTATTTATTTGAAGACAAGAAGCAATGGATGGAAATTAATTGAGAGAATCAACCTAGAACTAAGGAGAAATTTTCTGACAGAACAATTAAATCAGTGGAACGCAGAAGTTGTGGGTGTTTCATCACTGGAGGTTTTTAAGAGGAGATCGGACAACCATTTGTCTGGAATGGAATAGGATTTTTTGCTTGAGCAGGGGGTTGGACTAGATAACCTCCAAAGTCCCTTTCCAACTCTTACTCTGTTAAATATTTCTGTTAAGATAACCCTTTTGTCTGATCTCCAGAGGTGGGAGGATGGTAAATCTCCCAAAATGGGTTATTCCATTAAAAAAAAAGGTTTTACAACTAAGGTAGGTAAAGCTAAACCTCCCACTTGCTTTACCTTGCTCTGACCCTAAATGAGCCACTTCATTTATTGAACATGAGACGCAGGACAAGAGATAGTTCAAAAGTAGCCAAGTTATCAATGGATCTCAAATGAATCGGGGCTGCCTAGATTTTCTACAATTATATATACAGTATTTATATAATACCCCCCCCCAATACACAGATATGAAATTTAGTTGGAGTCAGTCTAGTTTGCAGAAGTTGCCTTTTGAGATAAGGGATTAAGGTAGTTAACTTCTTAATTAAATGGTCTGGTTGTTGACATATAAGTCTGCTTACTTGGTGGTGGTATTCAAAAAATTCCAAGGTAAAGGAAGGCTAGTAATACACTTAACTCTTTTACAAATTAACTTAATACCATCTGACCCCAGGAAATGAAATGATAGTGTTTGAAATCTAAATTATGTAACTTGATAATTAACCCTGTTTCCTTTTATTTTTTACTATAGGCAGATGCTCCTAATCCAGGACTTATTCCTGATGCAGATGCTGTAGGTGTAACAGTTGTCTTAATTACTTGCACTTACAGAGGTCAAGAATTTATCAGAGTTGGGTATTATGTAAACAATGAATATACTGAAACAGAATTGAGAGAAAACCCTCCAGTAAAACCAGACTTTTCTAAGGTAGGATATAATATATTGTGTAAATCCATCCAAATCCATTTTTTAAACTACACTGAACTAAAATAGAATTTGTCAACTTTGCTTAAAAATAAGCAACAGTTAATAGGCAAAAAATTAAGCAGTTCTTCATTATCTATTAGTGATAATGCTGAATTTTGTACCTCCGGGTTATTCCTTCCTCTAGGATGGGCTGAGGGAATGTTGGAAGAGGATAGCCCCTCCCCAAAATTTGCCCTAAGTCCCTCACATTATATTGTGTCAAAAAGAAAAGAACTACTTGAGAAAGTGTTCCTCCAAATTAGAGACTTACAAACTGTTCTAGGCACTGAGCATTCTGTAAGCTGAATTCATCATTCAGTGAGCATCAGGCAGTATCAGCACTCTGCATGGACCCTGAGCTAGCAGGGAAAAGGCAGACTGGTGGTGTACAGCTGTCAAGGGTGAGGCCCTTGTGTGCTGGTAGGGACTGAAATTAAGGTTCTAAATCCATTAGTCACAAATCCATCCTTGTTTAGTGTACAAGCGCACACCAGAGGGAAAGGTCATTGGTGTAAAGTAATCGAAAGAGAACATAAAGGGAACAAAGCTGCTGCACAGCTAGGAGATGAAGAGAGAGGAACAAGGGGCACCAGCCTTGTCTTATCTGCTCTTTAAAACTCTTCCAGATTTGTTTTAGGGGAAACCTAAATCAACATTGGGGTTTCCTGCAAGCAGACCTATGTGGCCCACTGTATATGTTCTGTGTGCAGAAGAAAGCTTTTTTTTCTTGCACTTTGTGCACTTGTAGTGTAAACCAACAAGGGTGGATTTGTGGCAAATGGATTTAGAATTTAATTCTGGTCCCAATTTACAGCTGCCAAACTTGAGCATATGCTGCTCAGAGAAATATCATTACTTCATCTTTAGTGTATAGGTAGCCCTCAACTTAATGACTTTAATAAGTTTAACAATGTTATGATGGTTAAAGTTAGATTTCAAGCCCTAGAACATAAATTACCTCTTGAGTTAATCTAGGAATGCATGTATATATGCATATGTTCCTTTATAAATATATCTTTAGTCTAGTGCAGGGGTGTCAAACTGCCGGCCCATGGGCTGGACGCGTCATCGGGAAACCATGCCCACCCCATTGCCGGTAACGGCGAAAAAGCTCCAATATGGTGCACGACGTCACGAGTTTGACATGTCTGGTCTAGTGGCTGCTTATTAATATTTTATAGCAGAAAGCAAGATAATGAAGTAAGTTTTAAGCCTGGCCATATGATTTCTGGATGGGCTTAAAGGGTCTTCATGGGGGGGGGTTTTGTTCTTTGTTCACAAAGTCTTTTACCTAGACTTTGTTGTAAATTTAGCATTTACTTTTCAGAACAAAAATATCCCAAATCTGTTTGTTACCTTCTTTGTTGAAAGGAAGAGTGTATTGGATGTACTATTTGGTATTACACAATGTAATATCTATAAGTGATCCTCACTTAGTGTCCACTAGTTCAGCATCTGTTTGAATTTACAGTGGCACCGAACAAGTGGTACTTAAGACCAGTCCGGTCATTGCAACGATTCCAAAGTGTCGTGATTGCCATTAGAGACCTTCTTTGCCAGCTTCTTACAAACAGTGTTAATGGGGAAGCTTGCAAGAGATCCCGCAAATGATTATGTGACATCCTTACCTAACTACCAATTGTAATTTAACAAGTTCCATTATAAAGTTCTTTCATCATTCATTGAACTTATATAGGGAATGTGAATTCCTACTGTGAAAAAAATGTTGACATGTTTATAAAATATAGATCTGAATCAGAAATTTAACCTTCAGTGAAAATATAAGGGGCACAAAGAGGGAGTTAGCATTGTCTTCAGAGCAAAAAAAGGAAATTGTTTCTCTGCTACCCACATTTGCACCAGTTGATTTACTATTTTATCCAAGAGCACAATGGAGAGAAATAAGCCAGTTTTGAATTGTCTCCTTTTTGATGTTTAAACAGCTGTATTATTATTTTTCTCAACTTCTTGACTTTTCCTTTCCTGGTTTATGTTGTGCTCATCATCCAATATGAAAGTAAGTCTTTTCTTATGAATCTAAATCTTATAAAACATTCATCTCTCTGTTTTCTAGCTCCAGAGGAATATTTTGGCATCTAATCCCAGAGTCACAAGATTCCATATTAACTGGGAGGACAACACTGAAAAACTGACAGATGCCGAGAGCAGTAATCCAAACCTCCAATCACTCCTTTCTACAGATGCCCTGCCTTCTGCCTCAAAAGGGTGGCCAACATCTGAAAACTCTCTAAACGTCATGTTGGAATCTCATATGGACTGCATGTGACCTTCTGCGCCATGTTATATGTTGAGCTCTAAACACACACAGTACACAGAACACAACCATCACGGAAACCTTTTTTTGGAATTACATATTAAACAAATGTGAAAATTGTTTAAAGAACACACACCCTGTAGAAAGTTTATAAGGAAAAATATTTGCGTGGATGTATAAATAAAATTATTTTTAAGTAACTCCCTGAGATTTTATTTAATCTAGTGTTAAAGCTTATTACCCATATGTATACAGATAGGCAAACGGGGAGGTAGGCAGGGATGACGGAAATTCACATGTTTTTAGTTATAAATTATAGATGGGCTTTAGTGAAGTCTATATAAACTTAGCTTGAATGAAATGATCTTTTTTATGCTTTAGAAGCTTTTGAGTGGCAGCTACTTGTAAAGTGTACAGATATTAACTTTGAAACTTTTTTAAGATTCATACAAGACCAGTCAAATGTAATGTTACTCTATCAGTGACAACAGTGTTATAAGCAGGGTGCCAAAGGGCTGTTGTCTGGGCAGAAGCTATTGCACACTTGTCAAAGTATGATGCCTACTGCAGGTGAAAGAAAATGTGTAACGTGTAGTAAAACTTCAAAGTCTGACAAGCTTTACGCTCCCAAGCAATGTTGGAAATGGCACAGCTGCTACTGGAATTGTATAGTACCTCAAACCAGAAATGGAGGATTTTAATTTCTTTAGTTAGCCATAATACTCCAGACTTTTTCCCTAATAAGGTGGCAAATACTGTTATAGGAATTTATGGTTTAAGAAACACAAGCCCCAAATCTTTATCAGTATAGTACAATTATCCATATGGGCGCTGTAACTATTGGCCTCTTCTCTCATTCAGGGCAGCTAAATGTAGCACATTATAAATTGATTATGCCCCCAAATGTCAAGGCAGCTTTGTTGTTGGCTCTTGGATGAAAGATGTACATATAGTTGATAGAATGTAGGGCTTGCAAAGAGCAAAGGTGTGAACATAAATCGGTGTGACTCCTCTAGATGATGCCATTCATATCTATGAGTAAGTATATTTGTGTGTGCATATATAGATACATTATTACATTGGTTGGTTGAGATTAGTGGTTAGCATACCAAATACTGTGCATGTCTGATTCTGTATGTGGACTGACAGGAGTATGGAGATGGGCAGATCTCGGGGGCTCACTTTCTGTCCTTTTTAACTTTTTACTGTTATCTAATATTCAGAAAAAGGTTGTAATGCATGTTATAAGTTTTCTAGATGAATACTCTCAGAGGTGACAAGGCCAAAGGAAAGTTAAGATCCAAAATGACTACCTTTAATTTGATATGAATTGCTGTATCTGAAGCTCAGGATTCAGAATGTATCATTGGGTCTGCCATACATCTCATGATTTTCCATGCAGCTCACTCTAGTATAAAGTTTAGCAATGTGAAAAAAGAAGTGCCATATAACTTCTCATGCCACTATCAGAATTCAGTGAGCAGCTACTAAAATTGATATACAAAGGTGGCTGTGCAAAGTACTTTACAGGTGATGGGAAGAGAATGAATTTTGGTTTTAATGTGGAAATAAGATTTAACGATTTAAGTAGGAATTTTAAAGATCTGAAAATGATATGAATGTGAATGAGCATTTTGAGTACATATATATATATATAAATTTCTTATCCATATGCATATCCGAACATTTTTCCTAAGACTCAAATATGGTTCTTGATCTAAGAATTTGGCAATAGAAAGCTGCCATAAAATAATTCCATTTTAAAAATAACTCCCATTGAAATTCTCCCTTAATGTCAGTTCTGGTGGCCATTATTGAAATATTGCCATTGTTAGTGGCTGCTAAATATTATTTCTATAGAATCTGTATCAGAAAAGTTAGTATCCCCTATAATATAAAGATGAAGCAGTAGGTGTGAATTTAAATGGACTCCAGAATATGGTAGAGGACAGGAAGACCTGGAGGAACGTTGTCCATGGGGTCGCGATGGGTCAGACACGACTTCGCAATTAACAACATAATATAAAGAAAAAAATTTGGGAAGAGGGAAGGAATATATCAATTGATTAATTCCTGAGCTGATTGTCAGGAATTACTGATTTAGTAATCAGCTCAAGAATTGGTCAGTTGACATCGTCAACTCTGAATGAAGTCCAGGCTAACATCAATTCTGACAGTTGCACATGCTATTATTCTGCAGGCATCTGTGGTGCTTACTGAACTAGGAGCTTGCATTCCTGGATAACCTCATAGGTTTATTCAGTTTCAATAGGTTTATCCTTTCAAATAACTACTGAGGTCTGCTAGTGAGCTTTAGGAGACATTTAGGATTTTGCATGACCCACTCCTAACACATTAGCGATTTAGACACTTTTAGCAATGTTTCTTTTGAAACATATCCTAAATTACACTGTCCCTTCCTGAGCCTCTTTTATTTTCAAGTAGCAGGATCTTTCCTTACTTTTTGGCACCAAGGAAGAACCACCAGCAACTATAAACCTAACTTTTGATCTATTTGTCCATATCTCTTAAGGTTACATTTTGGATACAAAGAGCCTTGCCTGCAAGGCAGCCAGCAATTCCTGCATTGGATTTCATTTCACCTTCATTCTTTGTTGTTCGACTATATGAAGACCATGCCCATTCCTCTAGAGGAAAATGGAGAATAGGGCTTAGCCATTTGTCCCAAAGGTGCTTTTTCAAGAGGCAACTGGACTTTGTTTTTTTTAAGATGTTTCACTTCTTCAGCTTTGAGGTCCAGTTGATGAAAGAGGACCTTTGGGACAATCATGACCTGGATGACTGAGAATCTCCATAGGCTTAGCACTTTTTCTGTTCACATGTTAACTATTAGATACTCCCAAGTGAGACTAACTTTCACAATAAAAATACCACCATTTACCTCTATTACAGCGGTTCTCAACCTATGGGTCGCGACCCCATTTGGGATCGATCGACTATTTCATGGGGGTTACCAAGCAAGGCTGTCCGCCATTTTTTTCCCCTTTTCCAGCTGGTGCCTTACCTCCCTTTGGCTGGGCCAGCCGGTGGTCGGCCTGGTCTGTCTCTGCCGCTTGCCAGCTACGCCTCGGCTGGCGCAGGGGGTGGCACCACGCATGTGTGGCGCTCCCGGGCAGGGAAAGTCCTCGACTTACGACCGGTTTAGTCCTCGACTTATGACCGGTTTAGTCCTCGACTTACGACCGGTTGGGGGTCGCGGCATTAAAAAGGTTGAGAACCACTGCTCTATTATCCCCAGATTATCCTTCCCCAATTCGAATATTGCTACTGTAGGAAAATGGAAGAGAATGGAAGGATTTCCATAATAGAACAGATCATTTAATGATGCTTATAAAATCTATTGGGAAGACTACCACCTGTGAGGTATAACTTCTGCTTTAGAACGAAATCAGGTTAGCATGTAGTCTAATTGTTTTGGAGCAGCAGTGCATTTCTAGTGCCTCCTAATTTCTGCTGCCTGAATTTTTTTTTCTTTTACTCTGGAGAACTTGCCCTTGGATATCTCTACCAGCATTCTGCTCCTGAGGCCTGATGGTGCTTTGATATGTTTCTCACGTTGTTTTTGTATTTGGGGTTTTTAAATACTACAGGTTAAAACATGTGAATACATTTATCAGAGAAAAACTGTGCCATTGTTACCTCGGGGTTGCTGAACTGGAAAATTGAAGGAAATGCAAAAAAAAAAAAAAAAGACTAAAATTCACGGGTTGCTCTCCCTTGCTTAGAAATGAAAGTTCTCTTCCTGAGCTATCAAATAGTGCTGTACTGATTATGCACAGACTCACTCCTTAGTTACAAGCTAACCTGAAGATGCATTATTGGAATAGGTACATCTGCCATGCATTACAATTCAAATATAATTCAAGGAGCATCCTTTGTCTAACATCTGCCTCCCCAAACATAAATCACTAAAATAGGAACGGTTTTCTTCTGCATGGGGAAAAAAACTGCCTAGAGCCGCACTTTTGCCTGCCATCAACACCGGCTTCTTTCTCTATCGTAGCATTTGCATCCAACCGCGGAATAAGAGATGACATATTAGATCACAGGAATATCTGGGAATGCTGAATGTGGAAAAAGCTGGGCAAGGATTTTGAAGATCTAGCAACAACATCTGGGTGATGGTAAAAAAAAAGAGGGGAGTTGTGAACCACCAGTGGGGGCATGAACCACCGCGGGAAGAAATGTGATCAGGGGCAACAACTATGGTTGTCAACAGCGAGACAAGCAGATTGCCAGAAAAACCTGTACTAGTGTCTCTGTGTACAATCTTCAGCAGAGCCTATGTATCAGTGGAGAATTTGGGCGCTTTGCCTCTTACCCTTTTTCTAAAAGTTGATATCTACCCAGCATTATTTACCTGCACTTGTAGATCCAATTCCTGCTGTAAGTACAGATCGTGGAGTAATCTTTGCTGCATATTTCAGAAATTGAGATTTACCAGTACCGGGGTCTCCAACCAGTAAAAGATGTGATTCACCTGGAGGTAGAGTAAAGATGCCCAAGTTTTCTACAGACCATATTTTAGAAGAAAATGGTATTGAAGAAATATAAAAAGCAGAAATTTAAGCTCATCTCTAATCATAGGGAAAGCATGCAGGTTTATTTAAAAGAGTCACGTTTTCTCCTTCATACTCAGATTGCTGCATGGCCTTACTGATCACTAATACATGCATTTTTAATTTAATTGTAATATAGGAAAAGGTAAATGTGAAACTGATCAAAAATGACATAATTGTCCATCATTTTGATATTTTGCAAAAACATTTACTGACAATCATTTCTAAATGGAAAGGTATAAAAATAAACAAAAGAGTTGACAAAAACCACTCTTACTTAGAACAGAACAGATTATCTTAATTTCCAAAAGGCCCTTCTGGGTATTCTACACTAATACAGAAATGATACCATTATTTCAAAGGTAGTTTTTAAATTTCAAAGGTTAACCATAAGACTCAGACATATAAACAAAACCCTTTGAAGATCATGCCCACAATCAAGAGTAAGATAATGTATCTTCTTGTAAGCATAAATTCAGGCATTCAACCTCAAAATAACAACTGGCTGAAAGTTTATCATAACCAATTTAAACACACTCTAGTGAGAGATTAAAAGGCTGTTCCTTGGAATACAGATGGTTGAAATTGATTAATATTTTCTGTTTGAATATTGAATATAT